CAACAGTTTTACCCCAACGATAATAAGTTAGTTACAAATACCAGGTCTTTTCTAAGAGTGTACTTAAAATTTATATTAAGAGCTCAAACTTGTTGAGAATTTTTTTTTCTATATGCAGATTAATATTTTGCTTGAGCACCGAAGAAAACAAAAACTTTTCTCCGTACTTTTTGCGGTTTGTTAAAAAAAATTTAAAAAAAAACGATTTTTTTCAAAAACTGTCCTTTGACGACTCCTACTGGTGAACCAATGCGAGTTACAAAAAAAAACTCAAAAGCAATTTTAAAGAGCGTGGAATTCCCCATAAGGTGTATTAAACCGATTTGCAATATTGTCAAAGGTGGGTAAGCATTAGAAATTTTTTACATGCATTTTAAATGGGAAAACTTTAAATTTAAACTGCAAGTACTTAAAATTGATATTAAGAGCTCAAACTTGTTGAGAATTTTTTTTTCTATATGCAGATTAATATTTTGCTTGAGCACCGAAGAAAACAAAAACTTTGCGGAAATGAATCACCCTATATATATATTATATATATAAGAACATTATTTAAATTTAAAAGAAAAGAACAAAAATAATAATATAATCAAAAATTATAGGCACAAGCGGACATAAATGTTGGACATAAAACGTGACCGAAATTTATTTCGTTTACTTAATGCTTCATTTTTACAATACAATAAATTGTACATAAAATATAGATTACATTTTATGATAGGGACTAGGGTGGGCCGATTTTAATATTTTTCAAATATCAAATTGTGCAATGGTGGAAAAGTTTTGTATTTATAAGGCCAGAAAAATATTATAAGAGTTTTTTTTTTAATTTTAATTTCTTAAACTGCCGCAAGGCCTTGAAAGATCTTAATGTAATTTAGTATCGTTATAAATACGAAAAAAATTATCTGAGAAAATAGGGTTAAAAAAAGTTTTGAATGATAAATATTTATTAAAAAAAAAACAAAAATAAAAATGAATTTATCATTAACACAAATTTAATTCCATTTATAATCCTGTTTTACCTGCCATTTTTCACAAACACCCAAAAAACACAAACAGATACTACTTGTAAAAATTTCTATTATTCAACTAATTTACGATGTCAAAATATTATAATTTATATAAACAGTGAAGCCAACTGTCATTTGTCCTACGTCAAACACGAAAATCTTAAAAAATATTTATTCTCCATTTTACGCCGTCTCTCCAATAATTGCAATTATTGCAAAATTTAAAATTTACAGTTTGACTTCATACAGTTCAAAACATTAAAAAAGAAAAAAAATATTAAAGGAAAATAGTTTACTTTCCCATTTCACAACTTCCCCGCTTATGAATAATTTTAATTTTTTTTAAAAATTACTTTTAAATTTTTAGAGGCGTTGCGGCAGTTCAAAACATATAGATATCAAAAAAAATATTTTGCAAAAAATGTTTACTTTCCTATTTCACAACTTTTTCTTAAATGCAGAATTTAATATTTTTAAATTTTAGAAGTTAAATATAAAATCGACCCACCCTAATAGGGACCCTTTTAAATATTTGATTAAAATAATTTATTAGGTCTTTTAAGAAATACTAAATCTTTTTATATTAATATATAGTAGTATATTATACTGTTAATTTAAACCATATTTTAAATTAAACTTTAACTTTTTCAACAATTTTAATTACTTATTAAGATTAATTAAAACCAAGTGTAATTTTATCCTTAGTAAATATTTATAAAACAAAATTAAAGTTTAACTTTAAAGATTAAAGTTTACAAACCACCTTTTTTACAAACAATATACTTCTAAGCTATATATAAAGAAATATATATATATTAGGGTGTTCCTTATTTAGGGGTCGGAAAAAATTTAACAGAGCCGCCCCCCAAATCGGTTCCAAATCATAAAAAAAAAATTCCTGCAAAATTTTAGGTCATTCGGTCAAAGGGAACACGTGCCCCACAGGGGTTTTTTAAGAAATAATTGAGAAAATTCGGAAGGCTGATATAACTCCGAAACGGTCCATCGTAGTAAAAAAAAGTGTATATAAATTTTATGTGTTTTTTTTAGATAAACAACTTTCGTAATAACAGTCCTGCGTTAAAAAAATTTATTCGGGGTCAAAACGCGATAAAACGCTTTTTTGTGTACTTTAGCGCTACCTACTTTTTCAATTTTCTGTCCTAGAGCATCGACCCAATGACATAAATTGTAGGGGACAATGCACCCTACATTTTTTGTTGACAAAATTTTTTTCTTAAACTAACCGATTTTGAAAAAAATTAAATCCAAAACTTTTTGAGTTTTCACCAAAAACACGTTGTGCTCCGAAACTCCGAAACGGTTTATCGTAGGAAAAAAAAGTTTAAATAAACTTTGTAGTTTTTTTTCAAGCTAATCAACTTTCCTAATGCCTTTGTCACAATAGTGTTAATGTTAATGGTAATGTTTATATAGCATAGACAAATGCGTGTATCAACGTAACAATCAACATTACCATCATTGTGAACGGATACACGCATATTTCTATGCTTTGGGTATTAACATTAACATTACTATTAACATTAACACTATTGTGAGATATAATAATAGTGCTGCGTTAAAAAAAAAATCGAGTTCAAAAAGCGATACAACGCTTTTTTTGGTACTTTGGCCCTACCTACTGCTGAAATTTTCGATCGACTTAATAACATAAATTGTAGGGACTACATTTTTTGATTAAATTTTTTTTTCTAAATCTTATCGTTTTTGAGAAAAATAAAATATAAAAAAACAAAAATTGAGTTTTCTCCTTAATCCGGAGTAGGATAACGCAGTTGAGTTTTCTCCTTAATCCGGACTAGGATAACGCAGTTGAGTTTAGGCTTTTCTTATAAGGCCACAATGATTCACGCAAAAAAAATCTTGCAAAATTTAAGATTAATCCGTCAAAACTAACACGTACGCACGTGATATTTTTGCCGATTAACCTCAAATTTTGCAAGATTTTTTTTTTGCGTTGATACACGCATTTGTCTATGCTTTATTAACATTACCATTAACATTAACACTATTGTGACAAAGGCATTAGGAAAGTTGATTAGCTTGAAAAAAACTACAAAATATATTTTAACTTTTTTTTCCTACGATAAACCGTTTCGTAGTTTCGAAGCACAACGTGTTTTTAGTGAAAACTCAAAAAGTTTTGGATTTAATTTTTTTCAAAATCGGTTAGTTTAAGAAAAAAATTTTGTCAACAAAAAATGTAGGGTGCATTGTCCCCTACAATTTATGTCATTGGGTCGATGCTCTAGGACAGAAAATTGAAAAAGTAGGTAGCGCCAAAGTACACAAAAAAGCGTTTTATCGCGGTTTGACCCCGAATAAATTTTTTTAACGCAGGACTGTTATTACGAAAGTTGTTTATCTAAAAAAAACACATATAATTTATATACACTTTTTTTTCCTACGATGGACCGTTTCGGAGTTATCAGCCTTCCGAATTTTCTCAATTATTTCTTAAAAATCCCCTGTGGGGCACGTGTTCCCTTTGACCGAATGACCTAAAATTTTGCAGGAATTTTTTTTTTATGATTTGGAACCGATTTGGGGGGCGGCTCTGTTAAATTTTTTCCGACCCCTAAATAAGGAACACCCTAATATATATATATATTAGGGTGTCCCTTATATTTATTTTTTTACGCATACCCTCTAATTATATTTATTACGTGTTTATATACTCCCAGTAAAAATTTCAGCTCATTCTATAAACCGGAACCCGTGCCGACTTGCATCTGAACCCTCCGTTAGCCAACGTTAGGCGCGCGGTATTTTGTAACACGGTTGGTCGCGAGGTCTTCGATCGTAAGTCATTTTGTGTTTGTTATTATGTAACCCTTATATTATAAATTATTGACAAATGTTAAAATATAGTTTTATTTATGTGTATACTTTGATAAAAATGTATATTTTCACAGGGAGTGGCTAGTTACCCGGAAGGGTCTGGTGAATAGGCCGTAAACTCTGAAATTGATAAACTTAATGGGTTAAATAACTAAAAGAGTCTATTGTGAGAGATGACTACCAAAAACTTATTGAACTGTCTAAAATATTTTTGGGAGGACATCAAGAAAAGAAATGATTATAAAAAGCTGAAATTTCATATAACAGTATATTTTAGCAATTCTAATTAGTATATTAATATATTTAAGGGATAAAATCAACTAAATTAGTGAAACAAATGATAGAAACAAAAGCAATAATATTAATTAGTAATCATATTTAATAAAATCATTAGAAAAATACAGTCATGAAGTATATCTTCTTTTTAAAGTGTTTCGTGTTACAAAAAACCGCGCGCGCCTAACGTTGGCTAACGGAGGGTTTAGATGCAAGTCGGCACGGGTTCCCGTTTATAGAATGGGCTGAAATTTTTACTGGGAGTATATAAACAAGTAATAAATACAATTAGAGGGTATGCGTAAAAAAAATAAAAATAAGGGACACCCTAATATATATACACCAAGCAATCTTATTATATTTATAATGTTCAATACTGCTATAATTTTATGTTGAAATCAATCTTAGTCCAGATAGTATCTAGAAAAATTGAGAATGTATGCACATTTTATTGATGTAAAAATATGATAATTTTAATGTAATAAATCAAGACCCTTTTAATATTTATTTTTGCCTATGCATTTAAATGAGAGTTTATAGAAAAGTATAATAGCAAACCAAATTTTAAAATTAATAATGTATAACAATTAACAAAGAAATGTTAATAATTGTAACTGTTTTTGTAGTTTAAGGTTGTTAAATATGATTACAAACAATTGACTATATTGCTAGTAAAAAAATATTAATTATTTTTTTAAATTCTGGCCGACCAACACACATAAGTTTTCTTAACTTGTTAAAGTTAAGATAATATTTTATTTGAGGTAAAAGTTACCCTATAGTAAAACAGATTGTTGTCCTTTAAAACTTTGTTATTAATATATTATTTTCTTTGCAGCTTGTCGCCAAATGGAATTCGGTGTTCAGGCGATATTCGGACCATCCGATCCGATATTGGGTGCACACATCCAGAGTATTTGCGAAGCTCTAGACGTTCCACATTTAGAAGCACGAATCGACTTCGAACCGATCTCCAAAGAGTTGTCAATCAATTTGCATCCGAGTCAAGAGCACATGAACAAGGCATTTAAGGATCTGATGGCGTTTCTTAATTGGACCAAGGTGGCCATTATTTATGAGGAAGATTACGGTAAATAGTCCTTTTTCCTTTTCTATTCCTTACACTTTTACTGTTATAAAATACTTATATGTTATTTTCGTCATTTCTGGTATTTCCCATTGTTTATAAAATTTTGATTTTCTTCCTTTGACATCTCATTTTTACTTGCAATTATAAGACAATTTTATTTATTTTGTTTAAGTCAAAATCTTTTCATTTAGTTAAAAGATGAATAATCTTTTTGAATTCAGAAATTAATTTATTTAAAATGAAACCTGCGGAAAGTAAATGCGTTTAAAAAGTATCAACTTTCGGCATGTTTGTAGAAGAAATATTTTTTTACAAATGGAAACAAGAAAAGTGCAAAATTTCCTGGCTTTTGAAAAAATATTGTACCTAAAACGCGCGAAAAGTCTCTTTTTCACCGAACGGCAGCAGAGTGCCGAAAATAGGCACTTTTCACACTAGTTAGGTAATTAACTATTGGTTTTTTGAATAATATACGGAGTAATTATTTTTTCTTAAACTTAAACATGTTGTTTTTGTAGGCCATTGGTTAGATCTAATAAATTATTGTATATGGTGTTTTTTGTTGAGATGAAACGGATACCAGATACCAGATACCAAATATCCGGCTACATGGGTAGCCGGATATCCGGCGGCCTTAAATCAACGATATTTCTTTACTTTGAAAGCATTTATGTATTGTGGTTGATTTTTTAATATCGGGCATCTGGTCGAATATCTATAACGGACCGGATAGAAGTTCTATCATAGAACATTTAGGCCGGATACCGGAAACTTACCCGTTTCATATCTAGTTTTGTGATATATTGCTTTGTTTAAAAAAGTTGAGTAAAATAATTCAAATCTCAACACCAGAATCATTAAATAAATTGGTTGACATTTAATTTAACAACAAAAAAATCATTTATTATTAGTTTAACCATATTAATTTTAATTAAGAGCATAATAAAAATAATAAATTAAAATTTAGTCCCAATAAGTTGGTGAAATAAAATAAAATATCTATGATAAAAATACAAAAAAATAATCAATAAATTATTATTGGTTTATTCGTTCCATCTAAGTTGGGCGGGTTAAGAAATGTCATGCCATTCATAATCTTTATGTGATTCCTCACCTTATCGCCCAACTTGAAACGCACAGTGTATACTCGCACATTGATAAGCTGTTACTTTATGACGATTTAGTCACGAGCTAAAGTTGGATTTATTATAAATTTAAAAAAAGTGAGGTTAATTAAATTTGCCAGATGTCAAAATTTGCGTGTTAAAGTTATATAGCAGAAATGACCGTAATTAAAGTTTTATCACAATGTCAACATTGGTAATTACTAATTATATCTTGAGTATGAGTATGAGTATGGGGACGTATGGCAGGCCCCATCGGCATTACCTTACACTAATCTCCCAGGGTTATTTTACCCCCTTTCCGTTTTTCTTCGTATCCCGCCACTGCACAGCATTACCTGAGTTTGTTCGATCCGAAGTTTTTACGCCGGCTGGTAGATCTACCCTAGGAGGTCATGGATGACAGTGTCGATGGTTAAGGCCACATCCGGATTTTTGTCGCCGGGTCGGGCCATACGCCCAGTTTAGGCTAGTGGAGAGCGGGTCTAGGAGGGTAAAAGTTGATTTTTGGAGGACATTGAACTGACCCAAAACTAAGTACAATCCGAAATCCTCCTCAACCGGGGCTTTAGTAATAACCCCATTCAATTGGGATTCATGATAAGGGGTAGAAGTATACGCTGCTAGAACCTGTCCTTGTTGGTGTATTTCTAAACGTCTCTGTCCGAGTCAGTTTCTGGTTCCTGGTCACCTCTTTAGAATTGTTTGCCCCCCTGTGAGATACTAAATCTTGTCTTCAGTACCGAAGTGTTGACGGCCACTACCCACCGTAAGTACCCTCTGCCTTGGTGGATATTCCTCATGCCGAGTGCCGGCTACCGACCTTGTATGTTCTTTATTTATTTTATTATTAAATTGGTGTTTATACCTTTTACATTTTTTTTTTAAATTTAATTTAAAAATTCAAATTTTAATATACTAATAGATAAAGCCGGCCCCGAAGTATACGTAATTGGAGTACGGCCCTATGGCAGGCATTGCCTCTTCTTATCTTCTGTGATGTTGTTTACTTTTTAGGCTTTCGTTTATGGGCTGCTATGTTAGTTAATGCCTATATTTAAATGCATATACATACAATATTATATACCTATTACACACACACAACACAAAATTATGTTTTTGAAACAAATAAAAAGAAATCTTAAACAAACAATCAGAGTGCTTATATTAGAGAATTTTCATTAATTTACTGCCTGAACTGCATTAATTGAAATCTTTGTACATTTTTGTAGTTATAAAAATGTATATTCAAAACTGTACGAGTTAAATGTAAAGACTGTAGGTAAGATTTCGAGACTTTTAAATAAACAATTATGCGCATTGGTCGTCTTGAATGTGCAAAAACTGTTCAGTTAATAATTAAAACTTGAAATAGTTTACTTTTCTCAGTGTAGGGACCTGTTTGATTTCTGAAGCCAGATGCCATTTTTGGTAGCATTGCGAAGTTTGCGTATATAAGTATTTAATGATTAGTTTATAGATTAGAATCGAATTTGTACTGTTATTAGGTCATGCAATTAGGAAAATTACTTAGCTTGATTAATTAGACTTGAATTCTGTTCCCTAGCGGATAGTCCGTGTTCCTTGGCAATCGCCAATTGTGGTGACTATACAGGTAGTCAGGTGGTATCAGTGTGACCTAACCTTAATCGCTCACTCTCTCACAAACTTTTACGACGTTATAGCACTTTGTGACTTAACCGGGAGCCACCCGCACTTTTCAAACTTATTATTATTTATTTTTTCTTGTTCATTTAATGTTTATTTTTTGTTTTCCGTTTTACTGATTTTGATTTACTTGCCTCTGATAACTTGCCGGATTCTTAGATTCGTTTTTGGTACTTGCGTTTGTATCGTTTACACTGCTTAGGAGGTTTCTCGTTAACCACCAACCTATCACTTTAAGTGTTAGGACGAGACTGGGAATTAGTAATTCGTCTTACAGGTTGACAAAATAGTCTGCGGCTCTCCCGAAAAAATATTTCTTATAGCTAGTTCCTAATAATTATGTTAACATTGAGGGCGCCAAAGTTTCCAAAAATTAGTTTTTTAATGCTTTAACTGTAAAAAATTGCATGAAACTATATAAATACCTACTATATAAAAAAACCGGTTTCTCACATTATTGCAAAAGTACTCTTACTCTTATTCATATTCAATCATGACTAAGCAATCCTACGGCAAACAGAAAATTCTATTTTGCCGACCTGTGTAATGTAATTGCTCCCCTTAGAAAATTTTATATGGGCGCACATGAATATATTTGTCTGGTCATGTAGTCTAACCCAATTCCCAAAAAGAAAGCATAATTCTATAGTTAAAACTATAATTTTTCGAAAAACTATCGGTTGGTGAAATGAATTGAAAAGTAAACATATTTTTTGTATTATCACAATAATCAAACAAACTTTTTGTTACAAATAGAAATTATTTAATAATATAATATATTTTTAAGTAAGTCAAAATTTAAAAAACGCAATTAAAATATACGACTGATATTTTAGTTCATGTAGTTTGAAAATTTATGTATCTATAAAACTTTCCTCGCTTTATTTATATTTTGGTAAGAAGTATAAAAGCAATTACCATGTAAATGATCAAATTATTCTAAAATTATGAGCAACGAGCAAAAATCATAAATTCGTATCTATAATAAAGCAAATTGAATTTTACCCATAAATGTCTTTTTATAGTTTACGATTCTCTAGTTCATATTTATTATGTTTTCCTTTAAGTTAAATATAATAATGAAATATATTAAATTGGCACGATAAGACCTTAAAAACACGTTTAGAAATTTTTAAATAATTAAATAATAAAAATAAAGGTAAACAATAATAATTGAGGAGCATCCGTGCAAAACCGGCTAAATCCATTGTATTCAGTTTTTTGATTTCGCATATTTGGGTTAATTTCTATCGACAACCAAGATAAGTCGGTTTAAATCCGACTATATCCATGTTAAAATCACATTTAAAAGGTAGCTTTAGGAGCAAAACCGGCCAAATCCACGTTTTTATAGCAAACCCGGCTATATCCAATAAATAATAATGATGATAAGCATGTGGCTTGGATATGTGGATACTACTACTAAAATTTGTTCTGTTTTTTCATGTTTTCACTAAATTTATTTTGTTAATATTTTTGAATAATAAAGGTTTTTTTCACATTTTATTCGTAGGTTTTTGACCAAAACTGGCTATATACAAAACATTTTTTGAAATTTTGGCATATATAAAGTTTTTAAAAATGAAAGTATGTCTTATAAATCAAGTACCATATATACTATATACAGTTCTTGCAAATCCAAGTCCGACCGCGTTGGGAAGGATGGTTGTTCAATACCCGCGTGAAAAGAATAAGGATAGAATGCCAAACAGAATTTGATTGGTCAGAGCGTTTAGCGTTCTATCCTTGTTATTTTCACGCGTCCTTCCCAAACCGGTCGGACTTGGATTTGCAAGCACTGCTCAAGTTTGCTTTTTTTTATCTGTAAAGGCCAGGAAACCGAGAGTTTTTGCCATTTTCCCAACATTTTATTAAAGTGGATGTAGCCGGTTTTGCATGGATGCTCCTCAATTAACACTATACGATGCATAGGGGTTATTTTAAGTCTAAAAACTACTTTTTTCGACAGTTGTTATCTAGGTATTAATAATTTAGGTTTAAACTACATAATGCAATATTTACAAACAAATAATACCTAATATTAATAATAATTTTTTGGTGTGACGTAAAGCGCGATATAGACCCCTAGACCATGTCAAACATCGTCACAAACAGTAAGACCTCTTCGCCTAAACGTGTGACGAACTTTTTATACAAAAAACTTTTTAGTAATAGTATATTATGTATTAAGTTTTAAAATGCCTTTTTAGTTACGA